TAAAAAGTTTAAATAAAATTTATTCAAATGTATGGTTAAGTTCTGCTTAAAATTCAATTTAATTTTTATTATAAACTGAAATCATATGCTCTCTCTCTCTCTCTCTCTCTCTCTCTCTCTCTCTCTCGTTTTCTCTCTCACGCTTTCTCTACACTCTATTAATGTTTTCTTAGCAAAAAAGTATAGCATTTATTAAGATTTATTTATTCTTTGACTTAAAATCTGAAAATTGTATGAATTCTTGTGTTGTATTTATATATATATATTTGGGATGAGAAGTGAAAATATAGAATATTCTGAATAATAAATCATTGAATGAAAGAAAAATTAACGACTTTTTTACTCACAATTCTCTACTATAAGAATATATACTGTATTTTTTAGGTTCAAAATTGAAAAACTATTTATTTGACACATAAATAATTTGCTAAACTTTGCATCCGATATGTCATTAAAATATTTGGTTTAATATAAAACGGAAAACAATTTTAAATATTTTTACATTTAAATTCCGTTTATAAGTGAAAAGTTCTGAAAATTTTTTATAATAATTTTTTTTATTGTCAAAAGTGTTGTCTTGAGTTAAGTCGTGAAGAAGTTGTGTTCAACAGAAATATGAAGAGAGAAAGAAAAGAGAAATGTATGTTTCACTTCACTCTCGCTCTCAATGTATTTGATATGAAACTCATTGAATGGAAATAATGTGTAAACATAACGTAATATAGCGTACAAAGTGTATGATCTGACGAGAGAGAGAGAGAGAGAGAGAGAGAGAGAATATATTGGAGATTAACTCGACTTTTAATTTATTTTTTACAATGAATTTCTATTTCTGAAGTTCTAAAAGAAATCTAATTTTTGTAACAAAATTATAGTCAGAAAAAAGTATCGCAAGACATGAAAGGACTGCAAATGACAAATAAAATGCGAACACAAGACAAGAATTGGCAAAAAATGGGCACAAAAAGAGAGGAGAGAAGGAAGAGAGGGATGAGAATGAAATCAATTGTATATATAGTTTGTAATTATATTCCATACGTAACGGCATTACAATAGGAGTGATAGTCTTATTGTGTCGGGAGATAACTGGCAATGAATTTAGACCGAAAAAAATATTGTACAACTTTTTTGGCGGTAATGTTATAACAAAAGTACAGTATATGTGCTTTTAGAGAGAGAGATCATACCATACAAAATACAATTAAGCATAAAATACACACCAGTTTCCCATATCGTTATGCGAGACACTCTTGAATGTGAGCAGCGAATAGTCTTCGGAGTTCTGTAGGGAAATGGTTTCGGTGGCGACGACCGGGAGGTGGCCTTTGAACCAACGGATATCGATGGGAGGGTCGCCCTCCACGATAGAGCACATGAGCTTCACTCGCATACCCTGTTTGGTGGCGATGTGTTCGGGCAGCGAGTGTTCGTCGATCTGCGGCGCCAGCCGTACGTTCAACACGAGACTGCCCTTCACTGGCTTACCGTTTGGGCCCTTAACGGTGCAGATATACTCTCCGCCGTCCAGCGACTTGTGGACGGCGCTGATGTGCAGTTTGCCGCCCACGCCGTTCATCAGGGGCTCAATTTTGTGCCGATGATTGACGGGCAGTGTATTGGCCTTATGTTCCCACGATATGGTTTCGATGGGATAGGCAATGACGGGACAGCCCAGCGCTATGCTGTGTCCGGACACCACTGTTAGGTTATTGCTGGTCCACATCGACCGCAGGGCCGGACTCCCGATGACGCTGACTCTGGCCGTATGGCTGGCCTGTCCGACATCATTACTCGCCACACATTTGTACTGTTTATATACAACGCAAAGATGGCATCCGTTACGAAAAGATAGATTGGGAGAGAAAAAAGTAGCGAAACAAACAATTTTATGAATCAGTGAAACAAATAATTTTGATGGCATATAAACTTTAATGCCATACAATATCTCTAATGCTATTATAGCTGGTGTTTGCTCTCCTAATAGTGTACAGTATATTGCGTTTTGATAAATCATTTCTTATGTTTCTCTCTCTCTCTCTCTCTCTCTCTCTCTCTCTCTCTCTCTCTCTCTCTCTNCTCTCTCTCTCTCTCTCTCTCTCTCTCTCTCTGTTGTGAGCATTACATAAGAGTCTTGACTTGAATTTTATTGATTTAGTGAAACCCTCTCTAATTGAATGATTTGTTATTGTGCTCTCATTTTTGCCAGTCTTTTGGTCTCATTATTCTCCACACAATTCATTCATTAAAACAAATTCTTTAAATATTTCTAATTTATAAGAATATTCTGTGTATAAGTTTCAGTCATATCGAGTATATGGCTATCGGTGTTCGCAAACAATATTTTGACAAATAATGTCAATAATATATTGTTATTCAACGCAATGAAGTGTTTAGACATAATGTCTGTCACTCTCTTTACTTATTCAAAGAAATAGCTGTTATTTATGTCAATAATATATGTGTTTTGCGTTTGAAGGACTTGTAAGGCATGGAATGACGTGCAGAGCGCTAACCGAACCGTGCATTTAGTGGTGAATGTGTCGCCGACGTGGAGAATAGAGCCCAAGAATGTGAACGTCGTTTTGGCCCGAAGTGTGTCCATTGACTGCTCGTCCGACGGGTCGCCCACTCCTCGTATTTCGTGGAAAAAGTCTATCGTTTCTAATGTTCCGCAAGAATTGACTCTCAGTTTGAGTGACAAGAATGCTATCGTGTCGTCGGCGCCAGCGCTGCCATCCCTGCCTTCAGATTTCAAAGACATTTTGTCGAGTTATAGACATCAAGTCTATGGCAACGGAACTCTATTCATACAAGAAGTGGACAAATCTGATGCCGGATTATATATGTGCAAAGTATTAACATTATTTTCATGCAGAATATTCTCTAAGAATTAATTTTTAATAATTGTTTTGTTTGGATGTGATTACAGATAAGCAATGGAATCGGCGCTGATTTAAGTAAAGTAATCCAACTATACGTTCAAATGCCACCACATTTTGAGTCTAAGTTCGTGAGCGAAACGGCGACCAAAGGGACGACTGCTGTACTCAAGTGTAAATCACGTGGAGATCCGGTGATGAAAGCCATTTGGCAGAAAGACAAACAAGTGATTGACTCCTCTGTCGACAAGAGGTTTAGTGTGAAAGAGGAGATCATATCTCCTCACAGTTTGGTCTCATATCTGGAGATTGAAAACGTCGGTCGCTATGATTCGGCTCTCTTTACTTGCATTGTGTCCAACAGTTTTGGTTCGGACGACACAAATATTCAGCTCATTGTTCAGGGTTTGTATGAATTGATTATAAAATAATAATACTTTATATGCATTGAAATGAGTTGAATAAAACAAATCACATTTCAATGAGCAGAAGTGCCCGAACCCCCACACGAAGTGCAAGTGACGGACATAACGAGTCGGTCGGCGGTTGTCGTATGGAAGGCGTCCTTTTCGGGAAACAATGCCATTAATAAATATATCATTCAATTCCGGAAACTGTGTCTATTGGAGACCGAATGGGAAGAGATGGCCACCAATACTGGCAACGATTTTCGTGTGATAGTCCGTCCCCTCCAACCCATGTGTAAATACGAGCTTCAGATTAAGGCCGAGAACTCGTTGGGCAGAAGCGACGCCAGTGTTATCACCGCATTCACCACCAACGAGGAGGTGCCCGGAGGGCCGCCCACCGACGTCATGGCTGAGGCCACCTCTTCCACGTCGCTGAAGATCAAATGGAAACCTCCGGCCAAACACTTACAGTACGGCCCGATTAAGGGTTATTACATCGGATACAAAGTGGCCAACGATAACAGCGAACAGTTCTCTTACAAGAGCGTTGAGTCCACGCCTAATAACGATGGCAACCGGTTTGAGATGAGCTATATCTCTAACCTCAAGCGAAAGACTTATTACACGATTATTCTTCAGGCGTATAACAGTATTGGCGCCGGTCCTCGATCTGATGAGGTATTGCTATATTGCGAGTTTGTATTGGTATTGTACTTATTTTGATCATGTTTTATGTCTAGATCAAAGTGTTGACACTTGAGTCCCAACCGCCGCGATCGCCATTAGTAGAAGTGGTGACCACTTCTGTGGACTCGATTACCCTTCGATGGGATATCAATGAATTGGATTCCGAAGAGAAGGAGTATGTGTTGCACTTCAAGGAAGAAAAGTCTGTCCAGTGGTCACAGAAACGGCTCAAAACTAAACGCAATCACTTTGTGTTGGACTCATTCGATGGGATATCAATGAATTGGATTCCGAAGAGAAGGAGTATGTGTTGCACTTCAAGGAAGAAAAGTCTGTCCAGTGGTCACAGAAACGGCTCAAAACTAAACGCAATCACTTTGTGTTGGACTCGAATGACGGCAAATCCATCATTAAATGCGGGACCAAATACTTGCTGTATATGACGGCCACCAATAGTCTGGGAACTGGCGAACCGAGTGAGTGCTCTCCGAAGCCATGTATTTTATAAAGTGATGTTAACTAAGATTTTGTATAAACAGGTGAAACGATCAGCACATCGACGAAAGGGACGGCTCCCATCTCTCCCTCGAGGGATGAGTTTATTTACCCGAACTTTACCATTAAATACAGACTTTCACGACAGGAGTTGTAGTTACGGTGAATTACATCCATACCGTCATTGAGAGGCTGTGGCGCCGTTTCATTGTATTGTTGTCCCATTCATTGCATACAACTATCACTGAAATACATGAATATGAAGAATGGATCGCTGTTTCCCTAACTGTGGGGCAAATCATTTAATTCTCTGTGAATAGCAAAACATTTGTGTCAATTGTCAACAAATGGTTTCAATACATTGTGTCCACTATTATAGCGATAATACAATCAAATTCTTTAATGAAAGCAATTTATTTAATCAAAATATCGCTTATAAACGGTTTATATATTGTTTAATAACTTATAAATTAAAATATATTATTAATATTAGAGTCTGTCCCGATTTTGACACAGGCTATTTAGGATTCCTCAATTTTAGCATAAGGTTTTGTTAGCGCCGTTAAGTCATATTAGTAATGTTAATGTACCCGATTTTAGAAGAATCAGATTTTGGCATACATTTTGACAGCACAGATGACGTGCCAAAATCGGGGACAGACTGTATATTTTATAACGTTAAATATTTGTATTGATTTGTGATTAATCATGAGATCAAGAATTTTTCAAAATAATCGTCATAAATATAAATGAAATAAAAATTAAATACAATGTACGGTAATATAATATGAAATGCAGTTAAATTGTGATTTTGCAAAACAGGGGTAAACAGTGTTACTTAAAAGTGATACTAACGAAAGGGTATTTCCTGTTCCGGTATGGGTTGGTATGTATGGGCAGAGAGTGGCCACGAGAAGGATATTCAGTCATCAAATCGTGCCAATGGCCACAAACACTCGCGTTTTTGCCAAATTTATGATCATATATGAATCAACCGGGTTGATTTTAGGCTTAGTCGTAGACTCTAATGCTAAAACTTATGCATTAAACTTATTGTTAAATTTCTAATTATATTGTTAGCATTTTATATAAAAATTAGTTAAATGTCATAAACAATTGTTTATTTGCATGAAAACACGTTTTTACATAAATAATATCTGATTTAATTGTGTTTAAATGTTTATCAAAACATTTTAAAAACCAACGCTAGACCAAGACAAAACTTAATTTGAATGTTTGAATATAATGTAGTGATTGGGTTTTAACATTAGTCCTTATGACTAAAAAGCCTGAAATCACCCCGGTTAATACATATTAAGTGCTTAATGCATAGTATTTTTTGGTGAATGACATGACAAATGTTAATTATCATAATTTCTCAATGCATAGAGTTGTAAGAAAATGACAATAAATCTGGTTATAACGCGTGTGTTTGAGGCCATTGCCACGATCTGATGACTGAATATCCATCTCGTGGCCACTCTATACCCCCTTTACTGCATTTCACATAATTTACCGGTAAATGTCTGATAATATTGAAAAATGAAAAACAACAAAAAATCAAATCAAATGGTAATTCACAAAATATGATAGAAATTAATAATAAATCGTATTATTAATAGATATTAAATATCCAAACATGGATTGCAAAACATGAATAAAACTATTATAGAATGAATTAATAAACAAAACATAATGTCAAAGAACTATAAAATAAGCACTTTTGTTACCGGAGATGCCGTCCAATCACTATTGTCTTGAGTTGTCCGGAAGGCGATCGACAATTCAGGTGCTCTTCATTGGCAAAAGAGAGTCATTTGTTGGATATGGCGGCAGAGGAAGAGAGTAACGGCCGTGAAATGTGGATCCATTGGATTGCGAGCACAACTGAAGACCCGTTTGATGATAATGAAGAGGAAGAGATGGAAGAGGAGAGCGACGATGAGATTGAAGAAGTGACTGATGCGGATGTCATTGTCATCGATGACCAACACATGGAATCAGTCCATGAGATGGTTCTAATGAGATCTTCGTCTGTAATGGACGCTAATTGACATTCGGTGCGACAACGGAGACAATAAATCTAAGTCATAGAGAGATAAGTGAATGTCTCCGAAGATTTCATCATTGGTTGTATTGTTTGAATATGTGATTGAATTCGCATTAATGACTGACAAATGATTTACTGAATGACTATTCGTTATATTATTTCTCATTGAGTTGTGAGACAATGTGGAGGACAGGGAGGGGACGGATGTGATGGTCGATGTGGTCGCCGATGAAGACGCGGTCGGAAGTAAGAGAGTAGTGAACGAACAGGTGTTTGACTTATTAGAAGTCACACTTGAGTTGCCATTGGATGGGCTGACAGTGTCTTCATTTGACGAAACACTTCCATTCGTCACATTGTTTTGGTCTCCAATAGAACAGAATTGAGTCGATTTGTGAGCACCGGATGAACAACAAGTGACTGAAGAATTAAAGTTGAGTACAGAACTCGAGTTAATGTTCGTGAGTGGTCTGAGGCCTCGTCTGATCCCCAGAAAGCACTGTTGGCTGAAGAATGTGTGAGTAATAGCGATGTGGACGTGAAGGGAGACAAACGGCAAAAGGAAATGAGAGGGGGAGGGGTTGAGAGGGCAGAGGAGGGGGTCTGTGTTAATACTGAGGTAGGAGTGGGTGATATTGTAGGCACTTATTGTTCATATACGACAAAATCAATCAACTCTTCGTTGTCATCAAATTGCATGAATCCGTTGACCACATTATGGAATCCATTAGCGATATGAGCGCCGAAGAAGTCGTCAAACAATTCCAACCCGTTATGGTTTTGAACGCCAATTACTGGCACCGCATCTGCATTCGCCGCAGCCATCGCTTCTATCGGTCGATCAATTAATCCCATTTCAAGACATGTTTCGGTCATATCGTCGGCCAGTCGTGCGTTCGTTGAGTCCATTCCGAACACTACTCTCTTATAGTCGTTGCGAACAATGAGTTGTTTGAGTTGAAGCCACCGATCGATGGTCTGGAATGTGGTTTCATTGAGCGAACAGTTCATCAGTTCCAAAGTCGTCGTCACCGGAAGACAGACACACATGTCATCCATTGATTGCCTGTTAAAAGGGTAAACCACAAAATGAGTCATAGAATATGCAGACTACACAGAATCCATGAAATAGTGAGAGAATCATAACATATAGTATTTAACTAATGCTTTAAAATGAATAAAATTTAAAAATAATGTATTCATTATTGTTCTCAAAACTATCCAAAAGCCTCCAAACGGTTGTCTCACCTGTTAATAACCGCCTCCTGAATGCCAAATGTCTTCAAATTGTGACAATTCTTGAGTGCATTGAGAGTCGTTCGGCAAACTTCGGGACTGTTATGACCGACATCTCTGCCAAACCATACAATTTTCAATGTCTTCAGATCTGTTAGTTGTGTCACAAATCCAATCATTCTTCGAGTGTTCCTAACATCTAATCCAGCGTTCATTGAGAACGAGAGCGACTCTAAACCAGACAAATGATTGCAAATGACTTGCATTGAGTTTGGGATCAATTTATAGACTCCTAAATGCTTGACACTTCGAAGACAACCCTTTTGTGCCAACGATTGGATGGATTGACTGTTGAGGACAACATTGGAGACATCAATTGTGGTCAAGCGGTGACTCAATTGTGCGAAACACTCGTCTGTCAGACAATACTCGTCTTGAGTTTGGCTATGAGTGAAGAGGTGTTGGGCTCTTATCTTCAAGACATCCAAACGTTGGAATCGATTCAATAGCTTATGAAAGCACTCTTTTGTGGCCGCAATTGAACACACGTTGAGTTCAAAGTGTGTTAATTGTGTGAATCGGTCGCAGAAGTGGTCAACGCTTTTGTCAGTGAATGACAACTTGTGTCCGCCGGCGATGAGAATCAGTTTGTGAACATTTGGTCCACAGTTAGCGGCGATCAGATCCAGTAGTGATAAGTTGGTTGAATTGTTGACCACAAGACACAACTCTTTTAGATTCGGGTATCTCTTGAGGCAAAGCATCTGAATATCAATCGGAGCCATGAGTTTGAGTCCTCTCGTGGTTCGCATCCAAAGGCCATCTCTCGCCTCAGACAACGTCTGCACGGATTGCTGCCAATAGTGGCCCACATTCTGGTCGTAACAGTTGGTCCCGAAGTGACGATCGCTTAAGACAAGAGCTCCTCTGCCGGCAAACACATCATCGATAATATGATTGAATCGTTTGCAGACCCGTTGGACTCGCAGTTGACTCCTGAGGTCCAGATATTGGCCAAAGATAGTGAGCAGAACGTCGTCGCATAGAGTGTCGAGTGTGAGCGCCGAAGACATGACGCATTCGTGGATCAGTTGCGGTGATAAGCGAAGAGTTGATTGAAAAACAAAAACATTTCATTTCATCAGTGAATAAAAAGTGATCGCATTTTCATTGGCTCTCAAACTGTGTCTCAAATGAGCGCTTATTTTGAATCCATATTTCTTTTGCAGACTTTGATCAACGAATGGTATATCTTATGAGCGCTCACTTGTGGTCCGACAGAGATCTTCATATCTGGGCTTAAGTTTAATGTTGAGATGTTTTGCGGCCATCATTACTGCCCGACACGGAGGACTCGGACCCACGAAATACAAGTCGATCACCATTTGGTCACTTCAGTAGATATGGATTCAATGAACAATGAATTGACAATAAAATACTACTTTTATTGCAATTATTGGCACAAATTTCGTTAAAAGGTGTGTCTTTTCAAAGCGTTTGGCAATCGGAAGGCTGTCCGCAGTTCGCGACCTTTCCTTAAGTGCATTGCTTTGGAGGGCTCGCAAAGCAGTCCTTTTCCTCAGAGTCGTCGTCGGTATGGATCTTAAACTTTGGCTCACTTTTTAGAGTAGGTTTCAGTTTTTAATGATTTTCAGCCCATTTTCCGGCTTTTCGTTCGTTCTCCTGACCGACAGACCCGACACTCAACATATGCTTTGAACTGAGAGTTGGCTTAAGACTACCGGCGCTAACCTTCTCGTCAAGTGTCGGATCGTTTTCATCGCAATAAATAATAGTTTTTATGGCTCTTTGTCCGCCATTTGATGCCATAGCGCAACCCTTAAGGCCATTGGCGCTGACGACTCCACTCATCGGTGTTTCCGTTCGCCCTTTTCTCGTCGTTACCTTCAGTTTATTCAATGGATGCCTCAGATTGTGGTCTTCGGAATCAGATTACAAACATAAATGTTAATTATATTTACAAAATAAAAATGAATGCAATTGTCCTTCAATTGGGTATCAATTCTTATCACTAAAGATAACTATGAATTCTTTGCCAAACATTTAATTAGGGATTCATTTGTGATTTTTCAAGCATTGTTCCAATAGATTGTGTCCACAATTACAGCAATAAATTAAAATCAAATTATTTAATGAAAACATTTTATTTAATAAAATATCGCTTATAATCAAATTTTTTATACAATATATTTTTAAAAAGTCATAAATTATAGCATATTACCATTAATATATGTTTATGAAGTAAAATACTTTTGTTTAATTAAGTTGTTATTAATTATGAGATTAAAGAATTAACTAATAAAGTCAAATATCTATGCTATCAACAGAATGATTATTGGGATTTGGTTGATAACATAGATAGTTGACAGGATAGGTATTTGATTGTAATTGTCAAATTGAAAATGAGATTATTATCAAATTTATATGTAATGTAATGTAATACGAATTCGTACTATGCATGGTCAAAATAGGGAATATTCTGGATAATAAAAATAATATATTTTGAGTCACTAATCCTAATAGTATGTAATTCCCGAAGTTTTAACTTTTTTTCGGAAATTCCCGAAATGTTCACTCTTTAGTATCAATAAATATATTTTACACAAAAAAACGTTAATAAAAATTGTAATAAACAAAGCATAATGTGATAGAATATAAGCACTTAATTGTCAAAATCGGCGAACGGATCAAAATGTTGGTCGTCGTCAGCAAAGTGGATGAAACCATCGATTATATTAATGTTTTGCAAATCATAGATAAAATTATCGCCGAAAAAGTGGACCGGATTTGGGTTTGGGTTTGGGTTTACAGCGACCACCATATTGGGCACAGCTATCGCTGCAATCGGTCGCACAATGAATCCCATTTCAATACATGTTTCGGTCATATCGTCGGCCAGTCGTGCGTTCGTTGAGTCCATTCCAAACACTACTCTCTTATAGTCGTTGCGAACAATGAGTTGTTTGAGTTGAAGCCACCGATGGATGGTCTGGAATGTGGTCTCATTGAGCGAACAGTTCATCAGTTCCAGAGTCGTGGCCACAGGAAGACAGACACACATGTCATCCATTGATTGCCTGTTAATAACCGCTTTCTGAATGACAAATGTCTTCAAATTGTGACAATTCTTGAGTGCGTTGAGAGTCGTTCGGCAGACTTCGGGACTGTTATGACTCATATCTCTGTCAAACCATACGATTTTCAATGTCTTCAGATCTGTTAGTTGTGCCACAAATCCAATCATTCTTCGAGTGTTCTTAAGATCTAATTCAGCGTTCATTGAGAACGAAAAGGACTCCAAACCAGACAAATGATCGCAAATGACTTGCATTGAGTTTGGGATCAATTCATAGACTCCTAAATGCTTGACATTTCGAAGACAATTCTTTTGTGTCAACGATTGGATGCATTGACTGTTGAGGACATTATTGGAGACATCAATTGTGGTCAAGCGGTGACTCAATTGTGCGAAACACTTGTCTGTCAGACAATACTCGTCTTGAGTGTGACTATCCGTGAAAAGGTGTTGAACTCTTATCTTCAAGACATCCAATCGTTGGCATCGATTCAATAGCCTATGAAAGCACTTTTTTGTGGCCGCAATTGAATACACGTTGACTTCAAAGTGTGTTAATTGTGGGAATCGTTCGCAGAAGAAGTCAACAGTTGTCTCATTGAATGATAACTTCCCGCCAATTATCACCAATTTGTGAAGACTTGTCCAACAATTAGCAGCGATCAGATCCAGTAGTGACGAGTCGACTGACATACGATCTTTGACCACAAGACACAACTCTTTGATATTCTTGTATTTCTTGAGGCAAAACATCTGAATATCAATCGGAGACAAGAGTTTGAGTCCACGAGGAGTTCGGATCCAAATGGCATTCGCAGAACACAACGGCTCCACTGATTGACGCCAATACTTGTCCACATCTTTGTCATAATAATTGGTCCCAAAGTGAGTATCACTTAAGAGGAGAGCTCTTTTGTTGGCAAACATTGTGCCAATCATATCATTGAATCGTTTGCACACCTGTTGTGCCCGTAATTTACTCCTGAGGTCCAGATAGTGGTTAAATATGGTGTACAGCACGTCATCGCACAGTTTGTCCAGAGTTAGCGGCGAAGACATGATGTGATTGCGGATCAAATGAAGTGATAAACAAAGTGATGATTGAAAAACTAAAGCCTAAGTTTCATCAGTGAATGCATTCATTGGTTCTCAATCTGTGTATCAAATGAGCGCTGATTTTGAATTCAATACAAGTTTTACTTCTATTTGAATGGTTTTTATCGTTTTATTCAAAGAATTACAAAATATATATAAGTTTTGAACAAATATTTTATGATTTTATAAAAAATAGAATTAAAAGTAAATTATTTAATAAAATATATAAAACAAAAGCAAATAACTTATTAATGAAATGAACGATAATTGAGAAAACTTGTGATCATTTGATCCATTGGTGGTAACGATGGTGTGAGCAGTGGTTGTGTCGCTTGTATTGTCAGAAGTGGTCATATCGTCGGTTGAATCGATGATATCAATGATTGTTGTGTAAGACTCTGTTGTAGTGGACGTGTCATCGATGGTAGTGTTTGGCATATGAGTGACTTCTTCTGTAACTTTATCCTCGAAGTCGAACTGACCATTAGTTCCACAGAAAGTGATGGCAAACATAGCGACCAATAAATAGACACAAATGAATCTCATTTTTGGTTTGAATTGTTTAAATGAGTGAACAATATATGAAGACTAATCTCTAATACGAGTATCAAAACTATGAATGAAACCCAAATCCAGCAAAACTGCAACTTATAAATGAATGGTCAAAAATGCATTCAATAGCATGTCTTTATGTCTTCATTGGATGAGCTGATCGGCGATTAGATAAATATTTTGCTTACATTTTATGAAATATTTGCAAATGTAATGTAAATGATATAAAATTCATGAGTTATTAATACTCTAATAATCAGAATTGAATGAATAAGCGAAAGCCAGACTCTCGTCATTGGATTCCTGTTTATATTTTACATATTTATTTCAATTTTTTGGTTTTTGATAATTTAAATGTTTTAATAATATTTATACAAATGATTAAATTCCTATTTATTGACTAGAAGTAAGTTTAATTCAATAACATTATTAAACTATGAATACAATATCGTATATACATTTTATTGTATTCATTTAAATTGATGGGTAGAGTATAACTTATGTAATTTTATTAAAACGAACAAATTTATTAAATGTTTTTAATTTGAATATTGTCAATTGAATCAAATAATGTTAACATTTGAATTTTAATATTGAAACATTTTCATATTCATTTATGTATTAATAGTGTAAACTTGTTTTGAAATTTGTATTTAATTTAACAGTTGTGATAATCACTAATATTTTACAATTTGTATTCAAATGGCAGCAAACATATATTAATATCAAATTGTTACGAATGCACTATAAATTAAAACAAACGATTAAAGTGTTTAAAATAACATTTTTAATATAAAAGATATTTAAAGTTTAAATTTTGAACTGAAATTAATTACTTTCTCT